GAAGTGCATCATTTTGAACCTGCAAATCATGCTCGACGTAGCAAAAGTTGCTGACAATGGTATTCTTACGAAACATACATCCGTTTTCCTTGTTTGACAATGTGGAATTTCCAAATGAGTGATCCAGTAAATTGCCGGTCTCTTAAAGCAGGCGAGGCAAGCTCCCTAATGGTAATGTAAGCTATTTCAACAAACCGTAATGGCACGCGTGTCTTAATTGGGACTGCCAGAATTTCCGAAATAATCAATTCCATTTTCTTCCGAAGGCATACCTTGATTCCCCCCGGAGAAATAAAATAAAAACAAACTAATTGATCATTCTTAGGGGTACGTACGATAAGAATCCTAATCCAACATTACTTCATTCTTTTCATCTTGGTGCCCACCCATACACGAAAAAAAAAATCAAAGCAGAAAAACAAGCCACTATTGGATTGTTTGAGTGAATACACTCAATTCTGTTTTTACGCGATTTTGCTTCCGTCCGTATTTTTAACCAAAGTTAGTGCTTGTTGTACTTGTTTAAAAAAATCAAAAAGAAAAATATGATGGTATTGAAATGTATGTGAAAATCGCGTAAAAACAGAATTGAGTGTAAATGCTGAGCAAAGTATCGATATTTAATCCAACCGTCTAAAAAATGTAACTGAACGATTGGTGTACCTGCCAGACCGACGATTAACCAGGGACGAAGAAAAAAAGCCATACGCTAACCCTACGTAGTTATCAGATATTCGAAGTTGCGCCGATATCCCAAGTAACCACATGTGCTATGTCTGTACAACTACACGTTTTGCAGACTACTGAAGGGTGTTCACTAGGAAGAGGTTCTTTAAAATGTAATTACATCCGAATCATTTGACAACGAACATGCGCAGTACACAGATCATGTAGATTCATCGGGATGCCTGATTCATGCGACATTATTGCAATGAATGTTGGATTTTGTGAGCTTTGCTCACAGTCATCCTAGCATCCTAAAGTTCAATGGCCCTAAGTAAGAGAATAACTTTAGAACATTTTTCATGTAGAAAAACGAATGTATACCTACAAGTAGTTTTCAGATTACTGAGAAATGAATCGTAATTGTGGACAGTTTTTTTTTAACTTTTTGATCAGTTAATGGTAGAAAACATACAGCCTCAACAAATATTTATATGCATATATGGTGGGGTCTATGATTTTGTGACAAGCAAAGCATTAGATATAGGAAAAACGTAACGAAAGGGTGTACATTTTTCCTCAATTTGGCGTGACACGATTAATACATGGCCTAAGATGATTAATTGCTCAATTAAATAAAATTGCTTTTGAATATTTAGCATACTACTAAAAGCATAGGTCCTGAACATTTTAGGAATCAAATAAATTCTAAATCATGCACACTTAGAAATAATTAATTTTACACGTGACGGATTCCGTCTTTGACATAAAGGATGAAACGTAAACAAACATGTCATGTAATATTAAGTGCTCCGAGACTGAAAAGTTCGTTGCTCGACGAAAAGTACGTTTGATTGAGCTATATTTCGCGTCTGTTACGACTCAAATTTATGTCAAAATTGACGCTCATATATGTCACTCTCAGAGCACCTAAATTTACATGAATTTTTCTAACTGTGTGTGTGTGTGTTTGGAAGCCACATTATCACGCTACAATATGAGCCTAACAAATAACCAATTTCATCATTTTTTTTTTCAAATAATTCAATTTCAGCACTATTACGTTTGCTTGGGACCAATAGGCTACTAAAGTGGTGAGCCAATTTAAAATCGTTAGTTTCGTATTGATTGTTGATTGAAGTGCATCCACTTTGATGTGATATTAAAATTATGTTTTGCTGTGTTGAAGTCGCCATAAATAAACAGTTTGACTTCACGTTCCATATCCCACACAGCAGAAGGTAAAAATGTGTGTTTTACCAGCAATAAGTGCTTTGGCCCAGACATACTCAAATTCTTTATGCTTATTAGTTTGTATTTCTTCGGAAGTAAAGTCTGCATTGATGGCTATGAGAACTCCACCTCTAGACTTTTTCTTACAAAGCTGCAGAATTCGGCCGTTAAAGTTGTTTCCAAAAAATGTCTTCGCTTCATACGCTTTCGTCCACTAGCAGTTCCAAGAATTACATTGAAAGATGAAGAGAGCATTTTTTGTTGAATTTCTTTCATTTTAGCTGAGCTTTTCATGCGATTGAAATTTTGGCAATGCACCAGGATATCAGTCGCATTCTGTTGAGAAGCCAAAAAAAGTTTTTGAACGATTATTTAAACTTACATTTGTATTTTCTTCTGAAACTGTCCGAAGAGTGTCGTCGTTTAGTTTCTTCCGAAGTGTGCGTCAATGTCGATGGAAATTTTGGATGCTGTACACTAAGAAACTTTCAAAGATTGTTTTTATGTGATGTGGAGGCGAACCAGCCCAAGGCTGAAAGCCTCATTAATAAAGTTAAATAATAATAATTTTTATGTGATCCACACATGAAATTTTGCAATCTGTGTGTCGGACACATACTTAATATGTGTACACATAAAAGTCATGTGTGACCACACATACTATTCATTTGACACATAAATTTAATTTGTACTTCTGAGAGAATTCTGTTTATGTGTGGTCACATGAAAATCATGTGGAATTTTACATGAAAATTCGTCAATAAAAATGTGTGGAATTTTTTGAGTGCACAATTTATATGCTACTTCACGTGTGTGCTGCAATCGTTGTGTGCGTTCACTAGATAAAATCGCACGGTGAGATTCCAGGTCTGCCAGGGCGTCAATGCGTGGGATTCCAAGTTCTTCGTGGACGTCCAGGAAAATTTCGCGCAAATTTGTGTGTCCGTTGGTAGTCCTTCGGCCACCGACAAACTTACATGCCACAGGAGCATTTCGTTTGTCCACAATTCGAATTATCAAACAAGTGATTCGAACTTTCATACGGGCGATCATATCTGTCAAACGAGGTGAGACGCAAATCAAGGTAATATAAATTATACGTGGGTTCGTGTCCTTGCTCATGGAATGACGCGATCGGATGAGTAGATGTCGGTAGTGTTTAACGTATTTTAAATATGGCGTCTTGGGCACGAATTTGAAAGTAGCTTGTATGAACTGTCACGTCGGTTCGTCGGTGCTTCGGCTACCGTTATTTTTGTTTTTTTTTTTGAATGCATACCTACTAAAGGCGGTTGGCTATGCAAGAAAGACAGATATGTTCGCACAGTGTCCATGATCTTAGGGTCAGGTTTTTCGGAGCAGTAAGGTTAATGGTTTCCCCTTTTTGGAAATTTATTAATTTCGGTTTTTTTGTATTTACTTGGTAGTACTGTTGCATTAAAGGCCCATCGCTCATTTCAAACTTCTATTCAATTTTCATACTGCCGTACTCTAACGGAACTATCTGTTCTTTAGCTAATAAATTATCACACTAAAGCTTCATGTTAGATAGCATTAAATTAATTAATTAATTTAAAAATTAATCTTCAAAACTTAATTTCTCTTGTGGTCCCCCACCGTCTATAATTATGTGGGATGAGTGATATTTAGGATTATTCTACTTTAAACCCTAACAATGCCGCTGTTTTACACCAGAATTATAACGCATTGCGCACATTAAAAGTGTGACGCACTTATTTCTTGGTTCATAAGGAATAAGTGCGCAGAAGACACCAAGACGATACAACGTAAAAGCGCACTTTTATCAGCGATTCTGCACTTTTGGAAGTCCAACTAACAATACATAGATTAATTGAGGTATTCTGATCGTCATAGAAAAATTTCAGCAAAATTGGTTCTGTTGTCTTATTTTTATATACAACAGAACGCATGGTTCCAAAATAATGATTATGTAAAATATCATTAAAATCGTTTTTTGCGATCACCAATGATCCAATTTATTACCTTATTTTCTTAAAATCCCAAAACTGCTCGAATGGTGTAAAATATGAAACAAATGCACCAATGACCCAACCAAAGTCCTCTAATGATCATTTAAAAAAAACCCGTTATGTGCTCGACGGGACACCCAGCTACCATTTGAAAAAGCAAAAAAAAAATGCGAGCACATAAGGGTTAAGATGCCTATTTGTGAGTTGAAAAAGAATACCACGAATAAAGTCAACTTAAAAACAAATATCGAAAAAAATACGACAGTGAGCATGTATAAGGGTGTACACGTGATGATCGATTCTCTTCGTCGATTTTCTCTTTTGTTAATAACTCGCTTGGATTAACGTTTATCGGTGCGTTTGCTGGAGCTTTTGATGGCCAATACAACCTGTTACAGCACTGCATTGAACAAATTTTAGAAAATTGTTTCGCTTAGCTGTAGCAATGCAAAGAGAAAACCGATGAAGAGAATCGATCATCGCGTATACGCCCTTATGCATGCTCACTGTCGAATACGTGATGGGTTTAGTTCACTCTCTCCGATTACTCATAGCACTCAAGGGAACACTGTTATCTGTGATTGCTATCGATAGTTGTATTAATATCACGTGGCAAGTTGTAACAATCTCTGGTTATGTACGATAATTTTGATATAAAAGAAGGTGTCACTATATACTGCAGTCAGTGTTCAAAACGATTCTACTAATTCAACTATAAAAATGAGAGGTAATCTGTTGCACATATGTTTTAAGGAAGCTTATTTACTTGATTGATTTTCAAACAAGCTTCAACGCTCGTCCTGCTGATAGTCATCAGTGCTTCCATCGCTTACGCTTTTCAAGTGCCACAAGAATGTCCCTCAGCGGAGGAAGAAGATCCAATGCATCCGGTACATTTGCCCCATCCAACCGATTGCCATAAATTCTACAAGTGCTACAAGGGCCTAAAGCACGAAATGGAATGCCCATTCGATCATCATTGGAACGCTGAAAAGGAGTACTGCGACTACCCGGGGCAAGCGAACTGTGTACGACCATAACACCGTACCGTGAATCAATCTGCATAAAAATAAAATGAAAACTTCCATTGCTCTATTACATAGTTTGAGAACCTTATTAGTTTTGTGTTTTATTGTACATATCACGAAACTATTTTACCACCCTGACGACCCGGGAATAAACTAGGAAACCAATACGACTCCTCTTCGCCTTGGTTATCTACCCACGCCAGGCCATCCGAAAGAATCTTGTCAATGGCTTGCCGGGCTCGGAATTGCGTCCAACTGAAATGTGTTCAATTAAGCAATCATGATCTAATCAAAGATCTATCAGAGCTCACCCTAAGTTGTCCACCAGCATCGAAATCGTCACATAGCCCTGTCCCTGATTGGCGGCTTCACTCAGGACCGATGTTTCCTGTAAGCTCAGCTCACCGGGAATCGATTGCACCATGTACCTACCCTCACCAACGGGGAACACTGTAAAACCATAGCCAAATATTTTCAACTTCCTCGCAGCCATCACAATGTCTTCGTTCACTATTTCCTGGTGGATCTGCTTGCGACCTCTCGCAGCCACTAGGCGGTTCCGTAGCTCGTTCAACTCCATAAGACCTCCTGGGCAGTTTAATGAAGAAATTTACAACGGTTGCATGACATTGGTTAGGTCTATAATTACCTGTGCTATGGTTCGCTGCCAAGCAAACTTCTACCACTTGCACTGCTAGCTCATAGTAGAAATCGCCCATCCCCAGCACGCTCCAGAAACCTTTTCCCGAGGCCAAAGGATCAACGCCGATTGCGGCACACATCTCCTGAAATTGCCGTCTAAATTGGGCATTCTTCCTAATTTCTGCTTTATGCTTCGCGGCAAATTCCTCCAGATTTTCCTTGAGAACGTCCATCTGCTTCACCATTTGCTCAAATTGGGAATCCTGCAGTTCGTTGCCCTTGTCGCGGTACTTTTCGGCCTGCAGTTTCTGCTTTTGGATGGCACCGACCCCGGCACGGCGTCGCATTTTCTAACCGCTTCGTAATTATAGGATTTATTCGGAAAAATATGAGCAAAATGTTTGAGTAGATGTTATGAATCAGCGTTTTAAAACAGCAATAACAAAACAAAAACTTTTCTTTAAACCGAATTTCATGAGCAAAACAAAAAATAGTACTGACGTTACTTATCGAAGTGCGTGAGCGAATGAGAGGTAAAATCGATCGACCACGAGTAGAGTCGACATAGGATTCGGATCAGCCGACCGACACCGAAACTGAAACCGCGAGTCAAAGCTGTCAGTTCAAGCACGCTCCACAGAGAAGCGTAGTTGTTAGGAAATTTGTACAAATTCGCAATTTTCTGCTAATATTCTCTGTGCTAAACTACTGAAAATTATATTGCCACGTGGAAACAATCCCACTTAATATACGTACGGAAATAACAAACGTAGGTAAATTATATTTGCATTTTAATCGCATATTTGCTTCAAGCCAAACCGGCAGCAGCAAACGTTTGTAAACATAGTGACTTTCCTCTTGGTAGAAACAAAAAAAAAAGCGCCATGGATTCGGATCTGTACGACGAATTCGGGAACTACATCGGTCCGGATCTGGAAAGTGACGAAGATGATGACCAAAGCCTGTACGGCCAGGCGGACCAGCAGGACGATCTGGACCTGGACGAAGGGATGGAAGAGGAAGCAGAGCAAAGCGAAGATCCGGCCAGCTCCCGGGCTGTAGTGCTTCACGAAGACAAACGATACTACCCATCGGCTCTGGAAGTGTACGGAGAGGAGGTGGAAACGATCGTTCAGGAGGAAGATGCACAACCGTTGGACAAACCGCTAATTGAACCGGTAAAGAAGGTCAAGTTCCAGATCAAGGAACAGGAACTTCCGGATACTACGTACAATATGGAATTCTTGGCGGACATAATGGATACACCTACGCTGATCAGAAATGTTGCTCTTATTGGTCATTTACACCATGGAAAAACAACGTTTGTGGACTGTTTGGTGCGACAGACGCATCCTCAATTCCAGGATATGGATGAGCGCAACCTACGCTACACGGATACGCTGTTCACCGAACAGGAACGTGGAGTTAGTATCAAGGCAACTCCTATCACGTTGGTCCTGCCGGATGTGAAGAGCAAAAGCTTCCTGATCAACGTATTCGATACACCTGGGCATGTGAACTTCTCCGACGAGGTCACCGCTGCCATGCGTCTTTGCGACGGTGTGGTTCTGTTTGTGGACGCCGCCGAAGGAGTCTCACTCAATACGGAACGGCTGCTGAAGCATGCCATCCAGGAGAAACTGGCCATCACGGTTTGCATCAACAAGATCGATCGGCTGATGTTGGAGCTGAAACTTCCCCCACAGGATGCGTACTTCAAGCTGAAGCACATCGTGGAGGAAATCAACGGACTGCTGACTTTGTACGGAGATTCCATCGTGAAGCAGGTGTCACCCATCCTAGGCAATGTTTGTTTCGCCAGTTCTCTGTACGGAATCTGTTTTACCTTGAAGTCTTTCGCTCGACTCTACTCGGACACCTACGACGGCGTAAATCCGACCGAGTTTGCCCGCCGACTCTGGGGTGACATGTACTTCCATAATAAGTCGTAAGTTCAAACTAGGTTCTACCTTTACTTTCATTGTAATAGATTATAATCGCACTCTTTTTCCAGTCGCAAGTTCACCAAGAAGCCACCGCACAGTTCTGCCCAGCGTAGCTTTGTGGAGTTTATTCTGGAACCGTTGTACAAACTGTTTGCCCAAGTTGTCGGTGACGTGGACACCACCTTGGCGGACACGATGGCCGAGTTGAACATTCGCGTCACCAAGGAGGAGATGAAATGTAACATCCGGCCACTGCTGCGTCTGATCTGCAATCGTTTCATCGGAGACTTTTGCGGATTCGTCGACATGTGTGTGGAGCACATTCAGTCACCGTTGGACAATGCCCAGGCCAAAATCGATCACATCTACACTGGGGTCAAGGAGAGTGGCATCTACCAGGATATGCTGAATTGCGACCAAAATGCTCAGCTGATGGTGCACACTTCGAAGATGTATCCGACAGAGGATTGTACCTTCTTCCAGGTGCTGGGTCGAGTCATGAGCGGAACACTGCATGCCGGCCAGGAAGTTCGGGTGTTGGGAGAGAATTATTCGCTAATGGACGAGGAAGATTCCAGAACCTTGCAAGTGGGCCGACTCTGGATCTATGAAGCAAGATACAAGGTGGAGTTAAATCGAGTTCCAGCAGGAAACTGGGTTTTAATAGAGGGTATCGATCAGTGCATCGTGAAGACATCTACCATTACCGAAGTAAGCATGAATGAGGACGTCTTCATCTTTAGACCTCTGAAGTTCAACACGCAAAGTATCATCAAAATCGCGGTCGAACCGGTGAATCCTTCGGAGCTGCCAAAAATGCTCGACGGATTGCGAAAGGTGAACAAATCCTATCCTCTTTTGTCTACCAAAGTCGAGGAATCCGGCGAGCATGTCATCCTGGGAACTGGCGAGCTGTATCTGGATTGCGTGATGCATGACTTGCGCAAAATGTACTCGGAAATCGATATAAAGGTGGCCGATCCGGTGGTGGCATTTTGCGAGAGTGTAGTCGAAACCAGTTCCTTGAAATGTTTTGCCGAAACTCCAAATAAAAAGAACAAGATCACGATGATTGCCGAACCGCTGGAGAAGGGTCTCGGCGAAGACATTGAAAACGAGACCGTTTCCATCGGTTGGAACAAGAAGAAGCTCGGTGAGTTTTTCCAGATTAACTACGATTGGGATCTACTGGCTGCCCGTTCGATTTGGGCTTTTGGACCGGACAACACGGGACCCAACATCCTGGTGGACGATACGTTGCCATTTGAAGTGGACAAAACCCTTCTGGGATCGGTGAAAGACTCCATCATACAAGGCTTCCAGTGGGGAACACGAGAAGGTCCCCTTTGCGAGGAGCCTATCCGTAATGTGAAGTTCAAAATCCTCGATGCCGTCATCGCTCAGGAACCGCTGCATCGCGGAGGTGGTCAAATCATCCCAACCGCCAGACGAGTAGCTTACTCCGCTTTCCTCTTAGCCACGCCCCGGTTGTGCGAACCCTATCTATTCGTCGAAGTACAAGCACCTGCCGATTGTGTTTCTTCAGTGTACTCCGTTCTGGCCAGACGACGAGGTCACGTCACACAGGACGCCCCCGTCCCCGGTTCTCCTCTGTACACCATCAAGGCATTCATTCCAGCGATAGATTCGTTCGGTTTCGAAACCGATCTTCGAACGCACACCCAAGGGCAAGCATTCTGCCTGTCGGTATTCCACCACTGGCAGATCGTCCCCGGTGACCCGCTGGACAAGAGTATTGTTATTCGACCGTTGGAACCTCAACCGGCAACGCATTTGGCACGTGAATTCATGATTAAAACTCGCCGAAGGAAGGGACTCTCCGAGGATGTGTCCATCAACAAATTCTTCGACGATCCTATGTTGCTGGAACTGGCCCGCCAAGATGTGCTGCTCAACTATCCCATTTAAGCCCCGGGTAAGTTGGTAGATTTGCGCAAGGATTTCTGAATAATACCATAGCTTTTAACGTGTTCCACTCGATATCATGGAATGTTTGATTAGGTAGATTTATTTCGAATATTCCGAAAGACCATGTTTTCTTTTAGAATTGATTCTTTTTCCGTTGCTGCAGTCGCTGTTTTTGATGCAGCTCTTGTACTCGCTGAAAGTGCGCGAATAACTGTTTAAAGTTGATTTTACTCTGGCTCTCGTTGGACGATTTAGAGTTTCTATAAAAAAAAGAAAATAATTCACATTCATATTGTTGAATAAGAATAAGAAGAAGTGAGCGAAAATCTTACATCTTGGCCGGTTGACCCCAGTAGTTCGGAACGCACTGAAGTCGATTGCGAAGGAGATTGAATGCCTCCGTCTGGGGAAGAAGCATCAAAATACCGTACAGAGCCCGCGATAGATGCTGTGCATCGGTGTTATCATTGGCATGCGATACCAGAGCGAGTCGGAGAGCTAGAATTGAAATTGGTTAGAAGAAGCTGTCGTACGTCCCTCCCTGTCCTATAGGTAGTACTTACAAGCAAAAATTGGAGATTCAATCAGTTGGACTAGTTTGTCGATTTCCACTAGAAAGTCAACAGTGATCTCCATGTCGGCACTAAAAATAGGAACATACACGTAAAGATTGGCCAGATTTCAGACTTTGTCAACACTTACAATAAAACGACAATTTCCGACACGTGCTGGTAGCACTGGGCCAGCAGACACAGCGACAGCGTAGATACTGCACAATGGGACCAGCATTTGTACAGGCACTCGAATAGGGAGGCCGATTTTTCGTTCTTAATATCCCTCAACGTGTTCCGCAGCTCGAACAAATCCGAAGTGGTTAGCAGAATCATATTCAACGTCCGGACCATCGTCGAGGCAAACTTCAAATTGGTACTCTCGTCCTGCAGGATCTCGGCAAACGTTCGATAAATGTACTCCGCATTCAACAGCCGGCAAAGTTGTCTAATAATCAGCGTTCCCCTATTTTCCAGAAACATCTTGTTTTCGCTGAACAACGTTAGCAGCTCCATCAGAAAATACTTATACTGCATCTGATCAAAGTTGCTGCCCTTCGCGGTGGCCGAATTTACAATCTCTGCCAGGACGACGATCGCTTGGAGAACCACCTCGTCCGAACTATCCGACAGGCAGTCCCTCAGTAGAACCGGAAACAGATTGTTTGCATGGCTGGACATCTCGTCGTGCACTTCGGTGAACAGATGGTGAACCCACTTGAGCACTGCAATTTTGGTCGGCACAGAACTGTGAATCAAATACTGTCGCAGCACTTCCATTACCGAATCTAAATCCAGATTTTTTAGATGCTGTTGCTTCTCTGTCCCGGATACCAACTCCAGCAGGTGAATGTTGACCGCAGTTGCACAATCTTTGATGTGTTTCTTGGACTCGCTTTCGAACGCCAAGCACGGCAGGATAGCCGTGAATATTCCCGACGAGAATCCAATGATATTCCCTCCAGCCAGCTGAACAAATTCCTTGATCCAACTAATCGCTGTAAACTGTATCAGAGCATTACTGGATTGGGCTTGTACAATCAGTACGTTCATCATTTGCGGAATATCCGCCACCGTGGGATCGGCCTTAATCGTTTTCAGAAATTGAGTCAACAGAGATTCACACATTCGCTGAATTTCCGGCATATTGTCCTCCAGCATTTGAAACAGACCGAGCAAAATTTCCGGAAGATACACTACCATGTTAATTTCCGGAACTGCATTCAGAACCGATATCCATGAGATTATAAATTGCCGAGCAAATGAATTTTTAGCCAAGATTCTCTCCCGAACCAGCGGAATAAACGCATCCAAATCGAAAGAGTTGGACGATTCAATCACAATATCCTTCAACAAACGGTCCAGTAATTCGCTGCCATTCTTCACACTTTGATCCGGATCGGTGACCAATCTACTCAACGATGTGAACAAATTCGGAAACAGTGGAATGATCGACCCCCGGGAAACCTTCACCACATTGTACAGTGATTCACTGGCAAAGTAGCGAACCCTGGTGTCCGTATCCATCAGGCAGTTCAGAATCGGATTAACGATTTCCTCTATAAATCGCTCCGTGTCCTTCCCGAGAGCTATGCTGGTAGCGGCCAGAGCAATTAGCCCTCCCTTCTTCTTGTTGGAATCATTGGACGTCACGAAATCCTTGCTTAGTACCTCGATTATTCTCCGGATTTGGCCGTGATTCTTTTTAACGTTGAAATCCACCACCATCCTACGGGTCGAAGATAAACGCAGGTCGGTTAAATTAATGTTAAACATGATCAGTCAGAAATCAATAGCTACTAACTTTTCGATTTCGGATGCCGCTATCTTCCTCTTGTCGTAGGTTTTGTCGCTGAGGGCCTTTACGCAAGCCTCACTAATCGGGGCGAAGGCGTTTTCCATTGTTGTTCGTTAATTAATCAGTGGACTCTTTTTTTTTTTTTAACACTGCTTATTCGAAACGATTAGTCACTGTTATTAAAAAATACCAGCTTGATGTCTATACCGAACCAAGTCAAGATGATCATAATATTTTTATCAACTGTGGACAAACGTCAATCGGCATCCATCGCACATAACAGACTGTCAAAGCATGTTGCTTTCGTTGTTTTGAAGTTTTAATTTAAAAATATCGAATAGAAAAAAATTGTCATGTAATTATAATGCAAATCAGTGCAGTTTAGTGAATAATTTGTCGAAACTATAAATTTAGAAAGTTCTACAACAAGGCGAATGGTCAGGTAAGAATATTTCAAGAACATAAATTTCACCAAAAAACTGTTACGAAATATTGCTGATTGCATCTGAAACTGGACTGCCCCAAAAATGCAAAAAGTGTGATAAAAGTGGACGTTTCCGTCAAATCGTGTTGGGACACTTATTGGATGCATCATAAGGAATACGTGCACCGAAGATACTAAGGCGATTAGACGGAAACTCGCACTTTTATCACACTTTTTAATAAGTGAAAACGCGCTTATTTGTTCAATTTGGAGTGAAATCAAGACAAACATGTGAAAAGGGCCTTTGTTTATTGTTTATTGTTGTTTACATCAACAGGCTGGATGAAGCCCCAATGATTTTAACCTTATCAACTATGGTAAAAAAAACACATTCAAGCATGGTCATAACATAAAAAACATTAAAAACCGTATATCTTATAGTCAATATCTTAACTCCTGCCTGCGAAAAACAGAAGAAAACTTTCGACGAAGCGCATCACGGGAGAGATGAAAGTCGAAAACAGATGCAACTCTGTTAAATGTTCTCTGCAGTCCGCAAATCGCACCGTACGCTCCATAATTTGTGCGACGTAGAGGCAGTCTTAGCATAAGGTTATTACGAACCGGTCGGGGTTGAACATTCAGGTCAATTTGCCTCAGGATAGCCTCACAATCTGTCCTTCCTTGTAGGATATCGGCCACGGTTAGGGCTCTGCTTGTGTCTCTTCTAGTCCAGAGAAGTTCTAGGTCGATAAGTTGACAACGGCTTTCGTAACTTGGTAATCGAGACGGATCATTCCAAGGCAATCTACGCAACGCAAAACGAAGAAAGCGACGTTGAACAGATTCAATTCTCTCGGCACCGTTGTTGTAGTTTGGGTTCCAAACCGCTGAACAATACTCAAGCGTCGATCGAACAAGCGAACAATAGAGAGATTTTAGACAGTAGATATCAGTGAAGTTTTTAGCTATCCTAAAAATGAACCCTAAAGTTCTTGACGCCTTATCAACAACATATGCAATGTGTTGCTTGAATGAAAGCTGCGAATCCAAGATCACACCCAAGTCTTTCACCTGATTCACGCGTTCGATTGTCGAGCCAAGTAGGTCATAGCTAAATATTATCGGTTGTTGTTTTCGTGAGAACATAATAGCGGAGCATTTGGCTGGGTTCACTACCATTCTGTTTAACCTGCACCAACTAGCGAATATATTCAATTGACGTTGAAGAAAGTGACAGTCAGCAATGGAGCAGATTCGTAGGAAGATTTTGAGGTCATCTGCATATGATAACCGAGGAGCTTCGATGACCAGATGCACGTCGTTGAAGTACAGTATAAAAATTAACGGTCCCATGTGGCTTCCCTGAGGTATACCTGATGTGGCGAAGAAGCTAGCTGATCTGCAATCTCCTATGGCAACTTTTAGTTGCCGACCGGTAAGATATGACCGAAACCAACTCAGAAGATTACCGCATATATCGAGCCTGCCGAGTTTAGCAATCGCAATAGCAAGGTTCAACTTGTCGAATGCTGCGGATAGGTCTGAATAAATAACGTCCGTTTGAACCCGATCCGACATGCTTTCGGTTATATACGATGTGAGACACAGCAGATTGGTAGTTGTAGAGCGGCCGACAGTAAACCCATGTTGATCAGCACTCAAATGCTGCTTGCAATGGGACAGCAACGGTTCCATAATCACTAGCTCGAATAGCTTCGAAACGGCACTTAACGATGTAATTCCTCGATAGTTATCCATAGCTCGTTTCCTTCCTTTTTTGTGGACGGGAAACATGTGCGCAAATTTCCAGCAAGATGGAAATATGCCACCTGAGAGAGACATTCGGAACAGGCGAAGAAGCGGAATTAACAAGCTAGCAATGTCTCTTAAAAAATACAGATGGAACTCCATCAGGTCCAGGATTGAAGGATGACTTGAGCAGAGTCGCGGCCTTAGAAATCATTTCTGCATTAACATCAATTGCACCCAGCGTTTGATCGTTCACTGGAACGTTCCTGGCAGCCAGGTTAACCAGAATGTATTGAGTAATTTGCAGCAGGGAAGATTCATAAATGAGAGCAGATTACGCACCAATCATTTTAAATCCTAATCAGCTACACGCTATTTCAAAACTACCCAAATTTGGGAAGAATTCACTCAGATCTGTCAAAACTGAACCTATCCAAAATTGGGTAAACTATGTTGGGAGTGACAAGTTGACAAATTAACAACGTCGATCGGATTCATGTCGATGTTGTTCATTTGTCAACTTGTAACTCCCAACACAGTTTACCCATCTTTGGATAGGTTCAGTTTTGACCGATCTGGGTGGATTCTACCCAAATTTGGGTAGTTTGGAAATAGCGTGTATACTTCTTAGGCCGCGCTTAGGGTAGACGCGACACGCGACCTATTCAAAAGAGTGCGCAGTCCTAAGCGCAAATGATAGCAGAAGCGGAACGGCAGCAGAATGCTTCCAGAGTTTTATTGCGGTTCCATTAGTTTCAGTAAAACTTCAGGAACTTTTCAGAAGTTCTGAAACTTCAGAACAGTTCGGAATTTTGGGTAGGTTCCGATAAATTAAAGGCAGTTTCATTAGCTTCTGTTCTACCCGAGAACCCGGGAATCTCAGTAAAGCGCAGAGAACTCCAATGAACTCAAGGAAACTGAAATATTTTGGAAACTTCACAAGCTCAAAGAACTTTAAAGAAAGTTAATGGTTTTCAGGATAGTTCAATTTGTTTCAGGAGAATTGAGATAACTTTGGGGAAGCATTAGGACATATAAATTCAAGGAAATTTCTGAACCTTCAAATGAGTTCTGGGAATTTCCGAAAACTTCAGTTATGATCCGAGAGGTTCATGAAAATTTTAGAAACGTAAGGGAAGCTACATGAACATTAGGAAATTGTGAGAACATTTTAGAGTAAGTTCTGTGTTTTTTTATCGGCAGTTTCGAGAAAATCGGGAAGTTTAGAGAACTTTAATGCTGATGTTTATTAATTTTAAAAAAAAAATTAAAAGCACTAAAGAAGATCCAGGGATTTTTAAATAAGATAAGAGATTTTCCGGTAGTTCCATAATAATCAGGGAAGTTACGAGTACTTCGTGATCAGAGAACTTCAAAACAGACTTATTAACTTAAGAAAAATTTCAAGAACTTTCAAGGAGTTCCGAAGAATTATGGGATATTCCAAAGTTCAATTCAGGAATGTTCCGAAACTTCAGGAACATTGTGAGATTTTCAGGGATGTTTAATGAATATCAGGAAAATTGCTGGATCAATTGAGCATGTGAGGAGCTTAAAGGAATATTGGGCTAACATCCCTCAGAAATCTATTTGCTCCATATATTTTCCCATCTTCTCTTTGAAGTATCTTTCGACTGTTCCGTAAGCCCTCTGGCGAAGTTTCTCCCAGTGTCTCCTGGAGGTTTCTTCCGCCTTCTCCAAAAAAAAAATCAATTAAAGTTCTACCGGATGTATCTATCGAGTTCTCCCAGAAGCGTTTTTCGTCTTCCTCTGGAAGTTTCTCCATAAGTCACTCTCCGTAGGTTTTTTTTCCGACTTATTAGAAGGTTTTCCAAGATACTCCTAACTTCCCATGGAAATGGCTCCACCGAGATTGGCTTCCTATTTCTAAACTTTTCTGGCTTCTGGATTTTTTCCGAAAAAAGTTTGACAGAAGTTTCTCAATATTTGTCTTGGAAGATCCCCATCGGATGTTTTTTAGACATTTTTTTAGAACTTTCTTCAAACTTCCTTCGCAACCCTAATAAACAAATACCATAAACGAACAATAACAGTCGAACTTTTTCACAAATGGTTTGGATGATACCCTAAACACGTCGTTAAGCAAAATAACCATAACAAATTTATTAGGGAAGATCTTCTTCCTCTGAAAGTTTTGTCGGTACCATTAAGAGACTAATGTCGTTTTCGTTTTTGCGGTGTAGCTACCAGGGCGTCACAATATCAGCTTCAATCGACCAAATCGATGCGACGAAGAGCCTGCTGGCTTTCTTTTTCTGTTAAAGTCGAACAGCTTCGCAGCATTCTAGAACCTCAGTCGGCGTGCACAAACAAATGTTCAATCGCTTGTCTCTCTTTCTCCCGTCGCTCCATTGGTCTTCCTTTCAAGCTTCGGTGAAACGGATGAGCGAAAGAGCGCTCGACTTTGATAGTTTTCTCTTTCATGAAACACATCAACAGAGGTTTCATGACGTATATGACGGAAAATGAAATAACACATTTAAAGCATTTCTCACGTCAAAACACTTGAAGATTACACGTCATATTTTTAATTTATCTTCCATCCATATATTTATCTAAAAAAAATGATCGAAAACGGGACATAACGCATTTTAAACAAATTGAAAGAGCGGTGATAGAGTGTTCGTGAAAGGGGATTGAAAGCCATAATGAGGTTCGTTTAACTAGAAAATCGACGTTAGTTACATTGAAAGCGATGAGCAAAGCAACGACGAGAAGTTCCACAGCCAGCCTTTCCTTCTAAGCGTTCTGCTTTTTTATTTTCCTTTCTTGCTGATAGTCTAGCTAGGCGTTATAGAAATGAAGCGTCGAACACGTATGTATGAGAGAAACAAAACACGAGTTCATTTTAGAGCTTCGAAATTGTAGAGCCCTGGTAGCTACACTGCCGTACACCGAAATATTCTAGGGTGTAGATATATAGGAGGTTAGGTTAGGTTTTCTTTATTGAGGAGGTTTTCAGCCTTGGGCTGGTTCGTCTCCGGTGGCGTAGATATAGGATGCACCTTTGTTTACAAACAAATGATGTTGAGCTGTCAAAGACTCGCGCTTATTTCTGCTTACACTATACACCGGTACTACACCGCAAAAACGAAAACGACATAATTCAAATATTTCCCACAAGTTTCTTCCGAATTACATGGAAAGTACCTACATCTTTCGATTTGAGTCCAAAAATTAAAAAAAAATACAATTAATTAAAACAGTGAACACCGATAAATCTCGATAACTTTTTCAAAGGGACGTATCAGCTTTTGTAAACAATGCATTTGATTGCCGATTTAGCGTAACTGGTAGCTCTCCCACGCATGCTAACACTACCATCAGATAAAGGAAATTTTACCCTACCTGCTAGTGGTGTTAGTAAGCGAGTGCGAGCTACCAGTTACGCCAAATCGACGATCGAATGCAGTGTTTACAAAAGCTGATACGTCCCTTTGAAAAAGTTATCGAGAAATACTGATTTTTTAATCATTTTGATACCGTGAAAACAATCTGGCCACGCTGGTTGAGTAGCCATCTGGCGGCTGTACTGGCCACACTGTTTTGTAAAATGCGCACAGCGTTCATGCATCTATCTGGCAGAGTGACATGTGCAGGGCTTCTGCGATGAGGAAACATCCGCAGCTGTCAGCAGTCAACTCTGACAGCCGACGTCCATTTGTTCGGAAAATTTGCAAATATTTTACTAGAAAATAAAAACCTTTTAAAAGGTTGTCCTCGAGACCTCTCCGTCACTGAGTTGTGTTTCCGTGTTAACCAGCTTCGCCAGCATACCTACCGTAGGCAATCGTGATCGCCCCCGGCAGGATGGCTTTTTCGGTGCTAAGTTCGGTGGCCAAGAAGGCAACATCGAATGTTTATGTAACCAATTGTTTGCTGAAGAATGTTGGAGCTTTATATAATTCTCAGCAAGTGCGCAACGCCGGGAAGTGGTATCCGGATGCCGAGTTTGTCAGCCAGTTCAACTCGGCGGTCATGTACCCGGATGAGGTAACTTCCAAGTGGAAGATTCCTCCATGGAACAGCAAGATTGCCCCGGTTGAGAAGACGGTCCGCAATGTGAAGATCAACTTCGGTCCGCAGCATCCGGCGGCTCACGGTGTGTTGCGTCTGGTGCTGGAACTGGACGGCGAGACGGTGATGCGTGCCGATCCGCACATTGGGCTGCTGCACCGTGGAACGGAAAAGCTAATCGAGTACAAAACGTACACCCAGGCTCTGCCATACTTTGATCGGCTGGATTATGTGTCAATGATGTGCAACGAGCAGTGCTATTCGTTGGCAGTGGAGAAGTTGTTGAACATCGATATTCCTCTGCGGGCCAAGTACATCCGTGTGTTGTTTGGGGAGATAACTAGAATTCTGAACCACATTATGGCGATTGGAACTCACGCTCTGGACGTGGGAGCTCTGACTCCGTTCTTCTGGTTGTTCGAGGAACGTGAGAAGATGATGGAGTTCTACGAGCGAGTTTCCGGAGCTCGTATGCATGCCGCGTACATCCGACCAGGTGGCGTCTCGCAGGATCTTCCACTGGGTTTGTTGGATGACATCTACGAGTTTTCTTCCAAGTTTGCCGAGCGTCTGGATGAAGTTGAGGATGTGTTGACCACCAACCGTATCTGGGTACAGCGCACCCAGGACATTGGCATCGTTACAGCTGAGGATGCTCTGAATTATGGCTTCAGTGGTGTTATGCTTCGCGGATCGGGAATCAAGTGGGACCTTCGCAAGTCTCAACCGTACGATGCCTACGACCGGGTTGAATTCGATGTCCCAATCGGAACCAAGGGTGACTGCTACGACCGTTACTTGTGCCGTGTGGAGGAAATGCGTCAATCGTTGCGTATCATTGACCAGTGTCTGAACCAGATGCCGGCCGGTGATATTAAGACCGATGATGCCAAGCTGACGCCTCCGTCCCGTTCCGAGATGAAGACCTCGATGGAAGCTTTGATTCATCACTTCAAGTTGTTTACCCAGGGTTATCAGGTCCCACCTGGTACGACCTACACGGCCATTGAGGCCCCCAAGGGTGAATTTGGCGTATACTTGGTTTCGGATGGTTCTAGCCGACCGTACCGGTGCAAGATCAAGGCACCGGGCTTCGCCCATCTGGCCGCTCTCGAGAAGGTCGGAAAGCATCATATGCTTGCCGATGTGGTGGCCATCATCGGAACGTTGGATGTTGTGTTTGGTGAGATCGATCGTTAGAATGTAGACAGAAGGAGAGAAGAAGGCGTTTCAAACGAACGAACATGATGCCGAGCGGCAATTATACTGTTAGTGTTCTGGTTAATCAGCGTCATGTAAACGACTGGATACAAGAATGTTTCAATAAATGAAGAATTCGCTAATTCTAGAATGATGTTTTCTTTTTTACGAAAAGTTGAGAAATGTTCGAGGATTTTTCCAGGTATAAAACCGATTTGATTTTATGACGTTTTTCAGAAATAATGATTGTTCGGAAGGTTCTCACCAGTAGGCCAAAAGTGTCCGAAGTTCTGACGGCCTATCTCAAGCAGTGCGATGAACCTCCCTGGACCTCGTATTTTATCAAGGTAACTATTTTTTTTTTAACAAGTGACAGTGAGCATGCATAAGGGCCTATACGCGATGATCGATTCTCTTCGTCGATTTTCTCTTTTGTTAATAACTCGCTAGATTTAACGTTTCTCGGTGCGTTTGCTGTTGCTTTTGATAGCCAATACAACCTGTTACTACTCTGCATTGAACAAATTCTAGAAAATTGTTCCGCTTAGCTGTAGCAATGCAAAGAGAAAATCAATGAAGAGAATCGATCATCGCGTATTCGCCCTTATGCATGCTCACTGTCGAAATGCACCTCACGGTTAATTACTATCCATTTTGTAGTATCGCGATGTGGTCAATGACCACTTTGGACGGTCGCACTTCAATTGGCCACTGGACACGGGAACGAATTATCACATCCTGAGAACCGGATGCTACCCATACATGAAGTACCACTGTACGAAGCGACCCCACCAGGACCTCAGTGTAGAGGACAATTTTTTCAAGTTCATCAAAGTGATCAACCTGGGACTGCCACAGCTGGGGTACGGATTTGCGGCTCGGTTTCTGATTCGCCACACTGAGTGGGTAGACATGGGTGAAAAATATGGGCAAGTGCCGATTTACTTTCTGTACGAAGAAGACAAGGGGTCATCATATTAGATTATAATAATAGAACGCTTAAATCAATCATCTATAGGGTTGTTGTACTTTCTATAACATTGAATCGTATGATCACTCCTTCTTCGGCTCTGGTGCCGTGGCATCACCGAAAAGTGGTTCCGCCTGCATTTTCCAATGTTCGAAAACATATGTTAACCGTTCGCTTGGTTCCGTACTCCAATGATGAATCCGACAGCGCAGCCGAGCCTTTTCCAAGTTGTTGATCGTGATCGTACAGTAAAATTCCTTGTTTTGCTTCAACATGTCCGGTCCGGCAATGGGCGTCTCGGGCAGGGTAATCGCATCCTCCGGAACATAGAATCCTGCCTTCCTCAGCGAAGCCTTAATATGCCACCGTTCAATGACCCATGGGTGATCTTTGTTCATCACCACTGCCAGTACGATTTCCTCCAGTTTGTTCACGGTCTAGAACAAGGTATGTGAGATTAGTAGGGGAAGCAATTGTGATTCGGATTTGAACTCCACACTTACTCTCTGAGCATACGCCGAACTGTGCAGCTCCTTTTCCTTGTCTTCCTTCGCGCTAGCATACTGAGCAACTGCTTCCGGTGTTTTGTACACAGCCAAACCCGGCAGGAGCAGTTTGTTGTAGGCCACATGGGGTTTCAGCGATACGACATCCCCTTTGGAACCGATTCCCTCGACGAAACTGGTCAGCACCACCTCCAGATTAGGCTTCTTCTTGATGGTGGTATCTTCCACCAGGTCGTAAACGTAGTGTCTGCCACGAAGCTTGCCGGGCTTTTGGTTCTTCTTGTACAGGGTTGGCGGATTGCGACGCTTCAGTACGAAGGTGTTCTATACGATGAGGGATATTGCGTAAATTTGTTTTCATTAGGGCGGACAACGAAAAACGTATTTTTAACTAACTTACCCGGGTTTGTTGATTCAGGACGCGAGCCGCTGAACAAAGTGAAACACTCGAAAAAGCTTTCGCAACGTTGGCGAACATTTTCACTTGAAATTCACTCAAAATTTGCGGAAAAAAATAGGAAACTAAATCACGGGCACGTTCTTCTACAGTACTTATTCATATTATGGGATCATGGATTTCGGGAACTGTCAAAAGTTGTTGCGTGACATTTGATGAGTTACCCTTTGTTTTGTTGCATGATGAGCGATTCCGAGCGCGAGGTGAGCTACTTCTGTCCAGTCGCCGACATAAAACGTCATGTTCGATTTGGTGACATGCATTGTTTACATTCAGCGTCAACACCACGAATCAAGAGATCAAAATTTCAACTAGTTTGCGAACAAAATGATTTACAATTTGTATATTTTCGACAAATACGGAACGCTTCTCCACTACGCCGAATGGAACCGACTCAAGCAGTCGGGGATCACGAAAGATGAGGTGAGTCTACAGTGTCCATTTCGATTAGCTTAAACGCATTCACCACCCCCCAACAGGAAGCCAAGCTAATGTACGGAATGCTGTTCTCGCTGAAGTCCTTTGTCAACAAAATATCACCCATTGATCCAAAGGAAGGCTTCCTGTATTACAAAACGAACAAATACGCACTTCACTACGTGGAAGTGTCCTCCGGTTTGAACTTCGTTCTCAATACGGACACGACTGCCTCGGGGATCAAGGATTTCCTTCTTCAGCTGTACAGTAAGGTGAGTTCTTGGTTTCTATATGCATGAGCTATCCACTGGAATTAAGGATATTTTTCAGATTTGGGTCGAGTACGTGGTACGAAATCCCCTCTGGACGATTGGAACTCCGGTGACATCGGATCTGTTCAAATCAAAACTGGACGAATTTGTCAAACAGTCACCACTGTTCGGACCGAAAGTGATATAAGATTATCCCGTATGCAATAAAACAAACTCCATTATTTAGCCAATTATCGGAAGCCAACCTTTTAATTACAAGTCAACAAATACCTTTAAATACATCTTTCAATCTTGAAAAGAGGCACTTTTCAGCCTGGTGTCGTTACATACGGAAAATGGAACCACTACTTCAATTCTGAGTAGCATCCTCACCGTCATCACTGATCCCATAAGCGGCCGTGTGCTGCGCGATGTAGCAGATCGAAGGCTTTCCCATCAGTTTACAGATCGACTCGAGGATATCCTTTTTACAAAGCTCGTGCTCGGCACGGGCACCCCATACGAAAAAGTACCGATCGTCGTTCATCCCTTCAACAACCTGCTTCTTGCGGATCAGATAGGCTTGCTTCAGAAAAGTTTCCGTGATCAACTTACGCACATTTCCAAAGAAATTATGCTCGCCTTCATCCGTAATATTCAGCTTGGCCAGAAAATCCCACAAACCCTGCTCAGGCACTTCTCCGCTCTTCATGAAGATATACCCCAGAATCAGATAGAGCAGTGTATACTTTCGCCGGTAATCTTCGCTTATATCCAAGATGGAACCACAAGTAACGGTCGAAACCAGAATAAACGTCTTGTTTCGATCCGTTTCGATTAACTTGTATCCGTAGACCTGAGAATGTAACAAAAATCCATTTTAGATCCATTCGTTATCACATCACCCGATATCTCGATCCTACATCAGTCAGCTCGCTCATCGCCTGTGGTATGACCTTCGGGAAGAGACGGCTGTTTCCACCGAGGGCGTTTTTCACCAGGTCGACCTTTTTAATTGGATGCTTGTTGACCGATAGGTTCAGGATGACCTTAACCAAATTGATAACCAACTGGTCATGGTCCACATCGTCGGTGTCGCCATTCTGTTGATTCGGTGGTGTCCGTTGCTGGCTGCTGCTCGGATCCGCTCGATTACGACTTGCTTTCGAAGTAGATGGTTGCGACAGGAGTCCACTCGAACGCGGCATTATTGTATTATTTGTATTAGTTGTCACCTTTTTTAGTCAACGTTGATAATAATAACGATAGTTTTTAATTATTTTTATTTTCTTCCCTATGCGTGCCTTTATTCGCCTCTTATCAGCGTTTCTGGATGCAACAAATCGAGCGGTCGTTTTTTCCGTTTTGTTTGTTTTGGTTGACACTTTCACTGCTCGCATCTCCGATAAAAAGACCTTTTCACATTCAACGCATTCAAATGAGAAAAGGTCGAAATCTAGGCTAACATGTGAAAAGGGCATAACATTTAAATTTTAAATATAAGGGCTGTGCTCCATACACTGTATTACTAAAAAAAAATAATATAATGTTCACTGATAAATTAAATTATTCCCATTTTGCTTGGAATTTAATCAATTTGATCTTAAACTCAGTTTAATCATATCGAATGATTAAAAATTAATACTCACTTTCTAAAAAATAAGCATCTGATATTAGAGCAACCGCCCTAATAAAATATAACCATAAACGAACGATAACCCAAATCATTGAACTATTCCACAAATTGTTTGGATGATACCCAGAACACGTCGTTAAGCAAATTAACCATATAATTTTTATTAGGGCGTACAAATGAGTAAATAAGGCACATTTACCAACCTCTACACTCAAAAATATTACAAAACGAATATAGATTGATTGATTGATTGATTTCTTTATTTTAGAGACTTTCAGCCGTTGGCTGGTTCGTCTCTGGAATATAGATTAAATTTTATGCATTTTATGGTTTTTCAAAATTTATACATTGGTTCGATTAAAATTTTCGTCAAAATTATACTAAGTCCGAATAACGGAGTGGAATTCGATCAGTGTTTACTAAAATGACAGGAATAAGAACATCTGGATTCCCTTCGGAGCTTTGTGCTGGTGAAGGGCTTTGTCCCAGCGGATTTCTACGGCGCCTGTAATCTGCTGGGCAGCATCGAAATTGTAAGTATTTTTTTTAAATATTATTAATAAAAAATAAACTAATGAAATAAGCTTCCTGAGACAATTTTTATTTTCATTTGAAAACAATAATATTTACCATAAATGAAATAAAGAAGCGAAAAATACATTCTCTTGAATAAACCGTATCTATGCATTGTGAGTATATTTCGATTTTATACTATGGCACGCATAAACCATTTTTATACTAAGTTAGCATTCTCTCCCTTTATACCGACCTTTGCGTCGGTACGGAGAGTTGCTTTTTAGCGTAACTTTTATACTATTTAGATTTCAATATTTTTTTAGTGTACCATAACGCTACTTGCGTACCGGAGGTTGCTATTCAGGTGGGGGAAATAGCAATCCGCACCTTGGGAAGTAGTGAGTTCATAAATTTAGCAACCCGGTAGCAATAACGCATCAGACGGTTTCTATTTTGAATAAACGTCAAAAGTTTGTTTTGCCGGTGTGGAAAACGGTAACTTAAATTATGACTCTGATAGCAACGACCGGTGTGGAGAGGAGTGATCAAGCCAAAATGGAAACGCTGTGCGTAAGTAAAATAGTGCCGCAAATGGCAACGCCTGGTACGGTTGCTCTTAATCCCAGTTTAATCAGGGTTGATTAGATTGACGATTAACTTTTTTGAATAAATTCATTTTTGATTCTATTTTAATAATTTTTGATTGAATTTTAATCTTTTTTGATTAAATAATATATGATATTATCAGTATTGAAAAATAATAAAATTTAATACTGGAAAGATTATTTCGAATTTATAGTACGTTCAGACTACAGAGTTATAACATGTTATAGCGCTATCTTGATGGTGGTTTCTGTGTTGCAATTATTTGACAACCGTTATAACATGTTATAACTCTCCAGTCTGTACAGCGTTTTAATCATGCATGACTACTGCCGAAGTAATCATGGCTCGGACTCAATAAGGTGAAGCGGGAATCTGCATACTTTTTAAGCTTTTTTGATTTGTGTGTAGTGTAGCCGTCTGGCGGCTGTACATGGCCATGGTCAGTGTGTATGTATCACTCAATGATATTCATGGTGAAGTATTGAACATCAATACCTGGTAAAAATTGATAGAATATTACAGTTATCAACATGATTTCTAGATAAACACAGGCTTACAATTGCTCATTACAGCTAAAATGCTAGTTTTCGTAATTATGCAACTATGGGATACCATAATGATAATTTTTATTTGTAAGAAGCAAGAAGAGGTGGTAAAGTTTGTGTATGACATATAAAATTTGTAAATTTTGCTTTCAGAAGGTCACAACTAGCGATTTTATGATCGCTGATTGCTCGCTCATCGCGTTGCTCAAGGCTAGTATACAGTTCAAAGCAAAGTGAAATTTGAAGCACGTAAAAAATCATGAAATTTCACTATCGAAAAAGGTCGTGAAAAAATGGTTGTGGAACATTTTCCAATTTCCTCTTTTCGCAGTTCACAGTTCACGTGAAACGAAATCGATTAGTAGCCCTCTAGTTAAAGTGTGGACGACTGTCACCACAAAACTGAAAAAAAAAACTGTTCCAATTAATTAAATGATTTGAGTAGTAGCTATACTGAAGATCCGAGAGATGTCGCCCCTTCAGTGGTAGGAAAATCATTTTTGCAGTATGGAGAATATCAGAAAATCCACGATTTGTGACTAAACATGCTTTCACAGAAGAAAACAAATAAACGAGTTTTTACCTTATGACCATAGTAATGTACTCGTGCAATTTTTATGCATCTAAAACTGCTCATAAAGACGATAATGAATAAAAACTGAACATTTTCATGAATTTCGAAATGGTTTCCTACCAATCCCATACATTCGAAAGTGACTGGCCCTCTGGATGTGGATGATGTCAAATACAACAAAACATGATTAATTGGCATTGACGGCGACTCTGTAGCTCTTTACTCCTATGATAAAATCCATAAGCAAACATCAAACTGTGCGTGAAACATGGCGGACTTTGTACTATCCTTTCACTCCACCGAAAATTCCCATGAGAAACTGTCTGTATTTGCTGGAAGAGCAAATTTTTCAACGGTGCCGTCAGCGCCAATCGAGCAAAGCGGTGCATTTTGATGGATCGATTGAAACAACTTTTGACAGACGTCCATATTTTGACTGTATAGGGCTTTATACACCACCAGTGAAGTGAAAATCTGACAGATACGCTCTTTCTCGAAACGTCAACTTTACGAGTAGCTGCACGGCGAATGAGAACGACCCAAATTTGAGTTTAGTTCACTCATAATCGCCAAAAGTGCAGGAACTCAGCGATGAGTAAATTAGCCTCATGTTTTCCCAGGTTTTCCTGGATTTTCCAGGGAAAAATTCCCGAATTTGAGAAAAGTAAAGATTGGATTCACTCAGCCTATTGGGGCTCATGCATTAATTATATCACGCTAAATCGAGCTAAATCAGTATTCACTCGGCTGTCGACAAAAGCAGGCCACTCTCGATGTGTGCCACGCGATCGTCTGTTTTCTCGGCAGCAACCATCGTGTGGTCCTCCTCATTGTTCTTCATCAGCAGTTCTTTTGGTCGATGCGTCGTCGACTTTGGAAAGCAACCGTTTCGTGATGAGTGTGTGAGTGTTGACTACGTTTTGCGTCCATTGCTGCAATGGAAGCGCTTTGCCTCACGATGGCGTAACTGCCATATAATGAAACCACTGGAAACGGCTCCAGTTCTGATGGAGGAGGCTTTTTGGATAGTGGAAGATAAAGCGTTTATTGTGTTATACCTTTTGACTATAGTTTTAAGATGTATTGTATAGTGACCAAGAATTCTCGGCTCTGTAAAGTTAATTCGGTTGAGCTTTATCAAATAAATTAATGAAATCGAGCTAAAAATTACCCCCTCCCCCCCTATCGTGACGTTTTTCCTATACCTAATGCATTGCTTGTCACAAAATCTTAGACCCCTCCCCTTCCCTCCTTAAAGCGTGACATAATATATGCATCAACCCTTGGTACTACTCGGAAACTGATTATTATTATTATTTATCTTTATTAGGGAGGCTTCCAGCCTTGGGCTGATTCGCCTCCAAAAGGAAACTGATTAAAATTTTCGTCAATTTCCTCATTTTCCGGCAGATTTTTTAGGTTTTCCACAGGAAACCATGAGACAAATTTGCTCATCGCTGAGTTCCTGCACTATTGGCGATTATGAGTGAACTAAACTCAAATTTGGGTCGTTCTCATTCGCCGTGTGCTATTTTTTCACGAGCAGCTGCATTGATCAGTTCACGAAGATTTGCCGCACTCTTCTCTCACCCGTAAGTTTTGACAGTTTTGGGTGGTTTGTTTTGGCTCCCATTCGTTGCTATCTCTTTTACTCAGAAGCAAAATGATAGGGAGCAAAAAGTGAGGTTAGGGACCGTGCACTGATCTATACGTGAAAAAAGTAGCCGTAAGCGATCCACAAAATTCGATTTCACTGTTTCGTATCTGTTTACAGTTCCAAGCGAAGTGAAATTTTTGTCAATTACATTTTTCACGCTCATGAAAGATCGAGTATTTTATATGGGAATTTCACTTCGCTTCGATATCTATACAGGCCTTGTGCTGGTTTTTTTTGCTGGAAAGTCTTGCATCACTTCACGTAGGTATACTGTTTTCATTAAAAGGATGTAGAAATTACAGTCAGGAACCCTTATTCACGATTAATAGGGAGCTTGGAATAAGGCTTCCCTTAGCTCAGTCGGTAAAGGCGCAGCTACGAAGCAAGACCATGCTGGAGGCGGCTGGGTTCGATTCCCGGTCCGGTCTAGGAATTTTTCGGGTTGGAAAATTTCTCGACTTCCCTGGGCATAGAAGTATGATTGGACTTGCTTGCCACACAATCATATCAATGCAAAAATGGTACAGGCACCGAAAGCTCTCAATTAATAACTGTGGAAGTGCATCTAGAACACTAAGTTGAGAGCACGCAATAAGCTAATATGCTATATGCAATAAGCTTGAAATGCGAAGAAGAAGAAGTGGAATAAGGAACCGCGAATAAGGATTCGGATACCCACAGCTTATGGAATTTTCACTAGTGGATTATCTCATTAGTTTTAATATATAAAGCCGTACTGTCTTCGACAACCGGAGGAAACTAGAAATACTCAAAGGGAGAGATGGGCGGAGAGAATGTTTTGAGCCAAATGAACTGAAATCTGAGCCAATCGAACATTCCAATTAGATTTTTTCTTATTCTTACTAGAATAAATTTGAGAGTATTGCAATCGAACAGAAATTCAATCACCTCTATGTTTTGTGTGCTTCTCAAATTCAACTAGTTTTTGGAATAAAAAACAATATTCTAACTCTATTGATTAATTGATCTTCGCCGGTTAACGAATGGCACCAAGAAATGTGCAAAATATTGCGATGCAATCAATTATTATTTTGCACCTAAATCGAATCAAAAACACAAGTCATTTTTGAAATGTTAGCTTCTAGCAAAGGTTGCAAGATAATTTAGAAACAAATCCCTGCTGCCGAATTGTATTTTGTTTTCTCCGCCTATCTCTCCCTCTGAGTATTTCTAGTGGAAACTTACGATTTTAAATTGGTTCACTTCTAGACTAGCCTATTGGTCTCAAGCAAATCGATTAACGTACCCCATTCTCGTCGAAATTCTAGTACTACAGTTTGTTTTGATTCGCTATGAAAGTTTGACAGATAAAAGGAGGGGTTCGTGGATTTTCCTATTTTTCGAGGGGTGCATCGATTAGCTAGGGACCGAAGAGAGTACCAGAGCTGAGCCAAATACTTGAGCACGTTTCTTCGGGACCTTCTAGTCTTAGAGTTACCTTCATGGCTGTACCATAGAGGTAACTCTAAGACTAGAAGGTCCCGAAATAACGTGCTCACCTTTTTGACTCAGCTCTGGTACTCTCTTCGGCCCCAAGCTAATCGCTTCACCCCTCGAGACATAGGAAAAACCAATAACCCCTCATTTTATCTGTCAAACTTTCATAGCGAATCAAAACAAACATTGCGTAGTACTAGAATTTCGACTAGAATGGGGTACGTTAATCGTTTGCTTGGGACCAATAGGCTAGTCAAGTAGTGAGCCAATTTAAAATCGTTAGTTTCGTATTGATTGTTGGTTGAACTGGGTTAGATCAACAAGCTTGTGCTATTGGATATAAGTTTAATTGGGAACTAGGCCGCTAGAAACACTTCACTTCCATATTACTTATGACATAACATGATATAACATAACATTTGGGCCCAACATAGAATATCTCGTGATTGTGGCCATATAGAAAGTTCTCGTCTTGAGCAAAGTTGTACAGGTGATCAAGTCCTTTCGGATGGTGATCATACTAGTTCAGAACCCTCACTGTAGTTCCTATATAAGCTGTATCTCGAGATCCTGACTATATGAAAGGTTACTGTCTTCAGCAAAGTTGTTTAGATGACCACGGTCTTCCGGATGGTGGTCATATTAGCTCAGAACTCTCTCACTAGTTAAAAATGTACCGTGGAAATTGTGACTCAGTGGCAGCAACCGTGTAAAAAAAGAATTAAGTGTACATGAATCTTGCAGCACTTAAGTTCTTCTTTCAAATGCAATTATGTAGTATGCTTTGTCCGTTTTTTGGTCTTAGATAAAGTGATATTTCTGCGTCAAAACCATGAATGACTCATACAATATATAATACAGAAACTAACTTCTGTAAAACGTGTCGATGGCGGGAAATTGCTTCCAGAAAAGTTATTGATAAAACGTTGATTTTTTCGATGCAATGTCCAACAATTTGATTTAGCTGTGTAAAAATCCTGCAACACACGAGACCGAAACCCTCGCTTTACTTCCTATGCAAAGGAGAACGGGACCAGACATTTTGTCGTCTGCTTTCAACGACTTTGACTCAGACCTACTGTAACGTGTGACTCAACGTACCATACACTTTGAATGATATCTTTCAATACAATGGAAATAACATGAATTCAACAGATCAGCGCGGTTAACCTGGAATAAGATCCAATTACGATTCCCGCATTCTCGACATTAGAAACATGGAAAGCCACGATCCTGACAAAACAACGTGTTGTTGTTGACTTTATACTCTCTCTCAAACTTTAGGAGACTCTCTGTTTTTGTTCTCCAGCTCTTCAATTCTCTCTCTTTCTATTTCTCTCGTAGATCGTGTGATCTCAAAAGAGTTTTTATGCACATTATCCACTCGCAGTCACAGCTCACAGCCCAGATCAGTCCAGCGACTAACGTCTTCGGGAACGGTTCGAAATAAGAGGAAGACGCATTTTGTGTCAACTTACCACCAACGGTTAGATTTATTTTTTGCCCACCAATCAATCTAGTGCTAAGGATACTTTGCAATCGAGCTGCGCGGTAATATGGTATAGAATAGTGCACTGCTCCGGTAAAAGTTGATCCTGTTTAACATCGCTGGCAGACCCGGAAATCCAGTAATAAAAGTGTGTAGTATTTGTGACTCGTGCATACATTTTAATTACAAATTATTGACCTGATCAAGTGAATTTATGGCAAACAGACCCAACTCTAGACATCTGTTCAGTGTTATTCTGCGTTTCAGCGAAGAAGTCGTCCGTATGTGTTTTAGGACTGTTTCTTCTCTTCGCGTAACTCTACATCTAGCACTAGGCAAAAGCTGCTTTCATTTGTACATAATTTATTGAATGCGTTTTTATATTTATATAAATTTATTTCGCTGTCGCGCTGTTGTGCTGTGCGAGAGCAAAAGTTCTTCGATCACGAAACGCGCTAAAAAAAAAGTTCGCCTCTACGTCTGGGGAAGACACCAAAGTCACGCAGCACCGGTCGGCTGTGCAGTCAGTTGGTCGGGAAGTGTCGAGCAAAGGAACTGGAAAAAGGAAAGACTGAAGAAACATGGGAGGAGGATCAAAGAGGAAGACACGAAGATGTGCAAAAAATAAAACAAAATAAATACTGCAAGAGCTGAACTCTAGGAGACGGTGAGAGTTGATTCAGTGTTGGTCTCAAAATGTAGGTGTTCATTCCACGATCTGGTTTTTAAAATATTGCAGAATAAGCGAATGTGGATTCGTAACACAGGAAAGGGAGCAAATTTGGAAAGGTGATCCTCCCCTGGGTTTGACTCTTTGAAACAAAAACGGAACGAGAGAGACACCAACAATTAAATACTTAAATGGATTAACTTCAATTTTCGAGCCTTATGAACTCTCTCACGCTGCCTGCACTTGAAATGCTCGTGCGCCGGTCAGCGACAGTTAAAAGCGCAACACGATATAATACAGAATGCGAGAGAGTGAAGAAAAAAGAGAAGAAGGCGACGATCAGTGGTGTATGTATAGCCGAGGGCGTACGCGTGAGAGTGAACGCGAAGAGGCCAATATAATTAGTTAAATGAAATTAAAAAGGAAGTCAATAATTAAGATTGATGATCATATTCTCGAGCGGGCGCAAATTGGTACAATCCCCATGGCTCCTTTCCTTAACATGAGGATCGAGACTCGTAAGCTGACAGTTGGTTGTCAAATTAGGACGATCCACACCTCTCACCGTTGGTTATCGTTCTTAAGACGGTCGAGAACTTATTCACCTCTTTTGACGCACTTATAATATTCTCGGTAGGCTGCGCGACAGCATCGCCTACTCACATTTCCATATTAAGAACCTTTGCACCAGGCAAACATGATCGTACAGCAGCGGAATGTTTTGCTTGCGGTTCTTAAGCGCACGTTTGCATTTATGCTTTTTGTTTGGTTATTGCCTCTGCACCTCTCGCTCGGGCTTGTTAGTGTTTCGGCGTTATGGTTGGCAGCTTGCTTGCTTGGATTAACGAGAAGTCCATTCATGTGTCCGCCACGTTGGTTCACCACTTTTTACGTTCTTTTCCTCGTGTTCATGAAGCTGCAGCCATGGCCTGCTAGTTAGTAGCTTGAGGTGCTTGCTACCAGGAGCGTCGAGGAATTGTGATTTAATGGTACAAGATTAAATAGCATATAAAAGCAAATTAACCGCTTTCAGCTTGCATAAAATTGATATAAGTATTTCAGCGGCGAAATTGCAATGTGTTTACCTTTTTAAAGCTGAGAAACGGTAACGAATTCAGCAGGAACTCACTGGTCTATTATACGCATGACCATTAACTCCTAAGTGATGGAATGTTTCTTTTACTTTCTTCTTCTTCTTCTTCTTATGAGAACTTTAATTTTGAGTAATATAACGAGTTTTTAAATCATCAGGAAAAGCTTATTTATATGAGCATATCAATATCAATCAATCAATATCAAACTTAACAAGAAATTGAGTTCTTTAATTTTGAAAAATGTATCGGTTTCTATAGATCATCTGAAAGAGCTTGATTTTCCGAGCACAACGATATTTTTTTCGATTCTTTCATCTAAATTTTTAAATAATAACTTCACTGTTTGACACTAAACTAACAAATGGACAGCTCGCTGGCTCCTATATAAAGTCCCTCCAACAATCAATACGAAACTAACGATTTTAAATGGTCTCACTACTTGACTAGCCTATTGGTCCCAAGCAAATCGATTAACGTACCCAATTCTAGTCAAAATTCTAGTACTATACAATGTTTGTTTTGATTCGCTATGAAAGTTTGACAGATAAAATGAGGGGTTATTGGATTTTCCTATGTTTTGAGGGGTGAATCGATTAGCTTGGGACCGAAGATAGTACCAGAGCTGAGCCAAAAAGTTGAGCACGTTTCTTCGGGACCTACTAGTCTTAGAGTTACCTCTATGGTCCCTCCGAGGGGCGCTAAGATGATGATTTTTGCTAATATACCCTTAAAGTACCTAATGGTCACCTTGTCCTATACCAATGTCCTTTATATAAGGTCCGCGTGGTGTTAGTGAAATGTGCAAATGTTTATTGGTGTTCGTATATCATTACAATGTTTATCTTTTTGTACACGAAACAGCTGTTGACAGTGACGTAAATCTCACTGTTCGCAGTATGGAGTGTGGTAGAGTGACGTCGTCACTTGAGTGATCAGCAATGTTTACAATATTTTTGATTCTAACACCAGCAAGCTGTATGTTGGCCCGGTTATTATATAAACGTCATTGGTCCTATACCGCGTACTCCCGAGGGGCGCTTAGATAATGGTTTGTTGGCTTACTTACCTTACCAATCAGGCTAAGGCCTTGATGTCCTCTGCTGGCCGAAGAAGTCGTCTCCACTCTACTCGATCCATGATCACACATCGTCAGCCTCGTAGTCTGCGAAGGGTCCGCAGGTCGCCTTCTACTTGGTCGATACACCCTGCCCGCTGCGCGTCTCTTCTTCTTTTTCCTGTTGGGTTGCTTTCGAGAACCGTCGTCCGGCATTCTTACGATGTGCCCAGACCATCGTATTCGCCTAAATTGGGCGTGTGGACGATGGATGGTTCTACAAATGTAATCGTTGTTTTATGTTTAAAATAGATCCAGTGTAAATCAATAAACACAATTGTTTTACGTTCTTGTAAAATATTATCAACAAGAAAAATATAATCAATATAACCTTGCCTGAATTGAGAATTGTAGTCAAGACTGTAAGAAGAGTTACATCATACCAGAGGTGGATTCATAGTGTATCTTTTCTCTTTCCTCTTCAACTGGGCTTTCTTATGACAGCGGCGAACGATCGATAAATATAAAAAAAAAATGTGAATTACGATCCAGTTAAACTATAGTTAGGTGTAGATCAACGATTTTACCTTAGAGCAATTCTGTTCTCTTCCATCTTCTTCCGATTGCAACAATGTAGCATGATTGATCTCGTTTTCGTTTTTATTGATTTCAATTTTCGCCTTTTCCTCCAGTCCCGTCTTGCCGCCAGCAGGTTCATGCAGTATTTTACAGTAGTCTTGCAACACCCTTCCGAAAACTGACGCAGCAATGGCAAAACGTGACTTGCTTGAGAATGTGATCAAATACAGTTTGATACTGATGTTGACGATCGTGAGCCGTGTTTGTCCCCGCCAGGATCACTATTACAGCTACCAGGAACCGTATGACGATGACCTATCGCTTTGGATCAACGAGCAACAGGTGAAGATCTTCAGCGGTGTGGCAATGAAGATCTACGCCATCGACAATGGACGAGTTTCACCACACATTCGTGATCCCATGTTTAGCCAATACCTGCCGATTATCCCGTCCGAGGTGAGCTGTGTGAATTTCACCTGGAAGTCTGGATCGAAGAAATATCATTATAACTTTGACCGGCTCGTCTCCGAGGACGAAACGATCTTGAAACCACCGACCATTTCGATCAAAACCAGCGGACGTGTTCCGAAAAATGCCAAGGGTAAATATGAATATGAGGCAAAGTTGGGCCAACTGTTGACATAAATCTCCCTTGCAGAGTTCAGTGTGACACTGCCCTGCTCTGGTAATATGTCAGGCATCGCGGTGTTTAGCATTGGACTCTTAATACAAAGTCGCAAGGGCAAACCGGTGCCCGGCACGCCGCTCAGAATCAAACTCCGTAAGGAATGTGCACATAGAGGTGTGTATGATAGAACTTCTTCTCTAGCATCTTCGCAAGGTAGTGTATGCCTTTTTTTATTTAAATACTTTCTCTCCTCTTGCACTGTTCCTCTATCCCTATCCGGACTATCCCCTATATGTGTTCTCGCTCTCTTTACACCTCTCGCGTGCAGTGATGCCTCATTTACAGATTTTCCTGTCACGGTGCCCATTATTTCGACTATTTTCAAAATAAAATCTGTAGATGAAAATATTTTTTGAAAAAAAAGGAAAAGAAATAATGTACAACTGTGACAGTTTCTCCCGCAGATTCTTTAGCATCCTCAAAGGAAAAATATAATTAGAGTTCAAACCTTCAGATGAAGCTGTGGAAAAATGTGGCAACACTGCTCCCGTGGTAAATTTCTTCTCTTTTGGTTTTGCGCATCCGATGGCAGACGGTCGCAGTTTGCAGCAGACGCAGCACACAGCATTTCCACATGTTGTGATACGATTCGAGCTCACGCTCCCTCGCTCTCTACTTCCTTTTGCTTTATCTGAAATCCATGCATGCATAGGTACAGGTTTTTGGTTTCAGACCAACCAAAAGTTCAACTCAAATTCAGCAATACATTTTTTTATGAGACAAATGCCCGTTTTAGCATAGGGTAAGATAATCCAGACCGATCACTATCCCGAGTTCCCACTCGTCTCGCTGCCTCAAACTGCTCTCTTAATGAAAACTCATGCAATGTTGGCCTTCACTGCGGATGCTCGATTATAAGAACGGGCCTGCGCGCTTCAATTAACGATCGAATGGTATTTTTAATCGATATAGTCGGTTGTTTACAGTGGAACGAGCTGCGGCAGCGACACCGAAGGTACGATTGAATTGAATCATTCCAGACGGTGTAAACTGTATATTTTCTACTGCAGCTCTTCTGCAATTGACAACCCTGCTTTTTAGGTTTATTGAATGCTTCCTCGGATAGTCGCTTAGTATCGATTTGAGCGCTTGACTTTCTTTGAACGAGTAGATCGCTTTCAGACATAGTTTTACGATTTGCTTAAAACACCTCAACTGATCAGCATTTCTGAACTTCCAAATTGTGTCCACACTCTTCCCAGAGTTTCACTCAAGTTAGTAAAATCTTGTTTCGGCCCAAATAGTAATCGGTGAAGAAATGCTGCCTTCCCTTCAAAAATGCAAAAAAATCCTAAGCGCATGGTAACTGGTAATTGGACTGATATCTAACCAAGAACAAAACCAAAGGGTAGAAAATTATTCTGAAATCTCTTCGTAAATCAAAAATCCTTTCCCAATTTTCACACCTTGATCTGGACCACGTGATCGTCGTGGATTCCAAATCCATCACAAACACCATCCAAACACACAAAAACACACAAACTATGGTTTACATCTTGTTCGAATCGAAACAACCTTAATGACACGAATTGCACAAACACAAACTTGAAGGACCCGATCCGGAGTGTGACAAAAAATGCGCCAACAAGGGCGTTTGCAATGAAGATAAGATCTGTGTCTGCCCCGAAGGCTACATGGGTCAGTATTGTCAGACGGCACTGTGCTATCCACAGTGCATGAACGGCGGTAATTGCACCGCTCCGGGTAACTGTTCCTGTCCAGCTGGTTACCAAGGAAGACACTGCGAGGGCGGTAAGAGTTCATTTTTCGCTTGATAATTATCAATTTTCTTGTAAAATGAGTCGCAATTGCAGGAATCTGTTCGGAGAAATGCCTCAATGGAGGAAAGTGCATCCAGAAGGACAAATGCGAGTGCACCAAGGGTTACTATGGACTGCGTTGTGAATTTTGTATGCCATATCCCAGTTGATGATCTATGGTTTCTATTTTAATCATCGTATCTATATTCTAGCGAAATGTGTCATCCCTTGCCTGCATGACGGCAAATGCAAAGGAGTGAACAAGTGCCGATGTAAACCAGGTTTGAGTGGAGACCACTGTCAAATTGGACGCCGCCAGAGATCTACTTGCAAAAGACCATGCAAGCATGGGACCTGCAAGTCTGATCATACCTGCAGCTGTGACGAAGGATGGTTTGGAAAGCTTTGCAATAGCCGTAAGTTCAGTGCCCTGCATGATCACATGGAATTTTTTCTTTGTTTAATAATGACTATTCCATTTTAGGAGAAAAGAAACGACGTAGCGGTTCAAAGCTACCGAAAAGATAGTGTGTACTACTAGCGGATCTCGCAAGCCGTACTCTCCATGGAGACAAATTCGATTTCTGAAAATCGCAAACACCTTGCCTAAAACTAACGCCTGCTATGAATGCCTCTTGTTTGTTAAATTTCAACACGGTTTTTGGAATTTTCTTTCCTGTCTCCCTCTCGAGAGATTAAAGCAACCACATGTGTATTTTGTTGTGATAAATAAACGAAAATTTATAGTTTCTCAGTATTAACCAAACAAACAGCCCATACCAGAGATGTGTTTCACACACGTTCCGCTATTTTTATCGCCGCGCGGCAACCGAACTTGATCACGTCAGTGAGTGCCTTGTAGAATGGCGCCTGTTCGGCTCCCTCGTGCATTCCGATGTCGTGGTGTTCCTGTTCCTCGTCACGGAAGCGTTGAATTGTCTCGAGAAGTTCGTGGTCTTTGAAGTCGGGATTTTCCATCAACTCACGGAGCTGATCGTTGTAATGTTCGACAATGACCGATTCGACAGCCACCGTGCAGGCCATGGCGCCTTTTTCGCCGAGCAAAGCGCATCCAGCTCCCAGGGCAAATCCAGCTACGTTCCACAGGGGAAGCAAAGCAGTCGGACGGGCACGGTATTTGTTCATTAACCTATCAAATTCGGCTTTGTGAACTTTTTCCTGTTCCCACATATGCTCGATCGTTTTGCCCGCTTTGGTATTACCTGGGATAAGAATAATCAGCATTTGAAGCTTTTATTTTTTTGGATTTCATTTTTCGTTATTCAGGAATTGTACAGGTTTGTGGCTATTGCAAACAATGTGATACATTTTTGTTAATGTACGTAAATTAGTAGATCATGCGGTTTCTGGTAATCTCACCTTTTTTTCATTTTTTACTCCACTACTATACTGCCCATAATCGCATATCAGTCCAATATGGATAGGACATCAAGCAAAGATGGGACTGATATGCGATTATGGGTAGTATATTACGCTGTAAGTTCAGCTGGTACAGGTTTTTTTTTTCCCCAATAAAATTGGTATGGTCATTTGCTTAACGACGTGTTCGGTGTATCATCCAAACCCTATGTGGAATGTTATAAGCAAAACAGGTCTGAACACTTAAAAATGTGTTTTATAATAATGAAACGAAATTCAGAAATTGATAATAGAGAGTGTCTGGTCTTAGGAGCATTACATTTAACAGTCAATACAACAAACAATTCTACAAATTTGCTTTATGAAGTACACTCGAGGTTCGCTGACTGAACTTATCGAACGGCAGTCGCTAACTGAAATGCATTTCATATGTCAAACCAATTTTCAAATGCATTTAAAGTGCATCAGGTTCATCTTGACATTTTGAAATGCACAAATTTGACGGATAAGTGTCCTTTAACTGAAGTTTCTTTCAGTTAGCGAACGTCTAGTGTATAATTTATTTTGTTCATACTAAAGAACAAATAATGAAATTCATAAAACTTTTATCAACCTATGAGCATTGAGATTATTGGATCCGGGTTATCTCACCGGGCTCATGCCTATCAACGCTCGATAACAAACAGAAAGCATACAAGAACCACAGACAAACAGACAGAACTCTCGCAAGTTGTTCATCGAACAAGCATTTAACGGTCGATTTAAAAGTATTGTAGTTGGTAGTACCACCACCTGTGGCGCGCATAGTTAATTCCCTTGCGTTTGACGTTTACACACTACCGCCATCTGTTCAGCGTACTACCTACCACGATGTTTTAAAGTGAGAAATATTCAATGTGTTATGTCTGTTTGTCTGTGCAAGAACCTTATATTGATGCAAATTTGGTGGACACGTCATCTGCATGGACAATCGGAGTGACCATACGTTGACCTTTTTTATATTTCCGATTAATTTTCAAGATAATTTTCCCATTATTAAACTGTGCAAATAAGCGCGTTTGCAATATAAAAATTCGACCATCTTGGATCTCACCATTTTCGTTTTTTTTTTCAAAATGGCGTCTTTGTAATTTTTTAATAAATTGTAGCACGAAAACGTCACTTATGATCGACATGACGTTTGAGACAAAGTTGTAGTGACAAATAATGTCGTTCTGGGAAAAATAAACATGGTATTTTTTAGTAATTCTGAGTAAAAAAAGAAGTATCTCAATAAATGTTATAAAGAAGCTGCAAACTTTTGGAACATTTAACACCATAGCTTGTTACCAAGAAATTTAAAAATATGACGAAAAGTTGATGTTCTACGATTTTTGTGAATTTTCAAGTGTCCATGGTTTTAAATACTACCAAAGTATACCTTTGCAAAAAGCTTTATTTAAACAAATAAATCAAAAATATTGAAGATACTTTAGCAACCAACCGCAAAAGCAACAGACCTATTAAAACTCTGTAGTCAGAACAAGGCATAAACCGAAAAAAATATAATAAAACAACGAAATTGCAATGATTTTTACTATTGAATATCGAGTACATTAAAATGTATTGTTAAACTTTTGTACTGGAGAAAAAAATAATTTCGATTTTTACGATACAATACTCAAATAATGAAAATTTGTGTGACGAGATCAAATTTGTTGGAGAAAAATCAGTTTTTTTTTATTGTTAAGATACTTAACAACCCTCCTTTTTTACTGTAAATTTCTCAAATGCCATGAATTTCATTGTGATTTTATGGTAATTGACAGTAAATATGATGGTTACAATGACACTGAAAATTTGATTTTTTTTACGGGAAGACAGATTTAGAATTTGAAGGAAACCATATGAATAGTGCTTTTAATTACTTTTGCACGATTTCTGCGAAAACAGCAGTCAATAATACAAAACTCATGAATTAAATTACATGAATCCAGTTTTCTGAGTGTATACATACAATCCTTCCAGTGTTTACAAACAACCGATGGTGAGAACTTTCCACTTACCCAATACTGCCAACTGACCCTTGTAGATCTGATTTGCACCCAACTCTCCGGCATGATCGACCCGGATAATCCGGTCCATCGTCTCCGAGCATCGCTTGGCCTGAACACAGGATACAACATGCAGTCTGCGTGACAAAATTGGTTGAATTTTCAGCATGACTACAGAAACAGCATTGAATTAGCGCATATTACGCAATATTTTTTAATCAACATGTACAACTTATTTAATATTCTCAGAGAACAACATTACCTTCTTTAATATGTAGTATTGTATAAATAAATGCAACAATCACTATTGAATTCGCTGTCGATTATAAATAAATTGGAAAAACTAATGAAGTCGCCTTTAGTCAGCTTGATTGTCGGAACGCTGTTACGGTGTGTGATCTAATTTAAAGTAAACAAAGATAGAACGGCTCGAATCTCTGTTAAAAGGCCTTTTCAGACACGCAAAAAAAAACTCACTTTTTCATACAATTTATTATAAGATGCTCAACTGAGGAACCAAAATCTTGTTTCATTTCTCGCATCTACTTGCATCGCGCATCATATTTTTGCAGGAAATCTTCAAAATCGTCTTCAATTTTCTTTCTTTCTACTCAGCGTGCATACAACTAGCCACAGCAAAATACAATCTTTCCTGCATCGTAGATAGAGTCGCCTCCCTCGGTGGCAGTCTGGTATAACATTCGTGGCAGTTTGGTAACATTACTGGGAAAGGAACAGAATGCATGTATGGTGAAAACTCTTTCCCTGATTTTTCAATGCCATCCTCTCTCAGTTGTGTTTAACAGTAGTCCAAAGTCGCAGAAGATTTGTTTTGAAGGATAATCACGTAGACTGTCTGTTGATTTTTGTAGCAAAATAGCACAGAGAACAGACGTTGAGGCTCGAACAAAATTTCTGTAAAATCTAGTGTAAAGATTCCTATTCGACTTAAGCGCCACCAACGCTGACTTCCCAACTTAAAACCTCTCTTTGAAAACATGATGGCGAAATTTAATCGATACTAGCGCTATAAAGTGGAAAATTTATAGAGGAAATCAGGAGATGCTAGCGCTATACGTAACGGCTACACGTTCTCACTTATCTTTACACAAGTTTCTGGTGGAAGTTGGACGTCTGTTCTCTGTGAAAATAGTATAGCGGCTGATTTCCAAATCAAAAGAAACTCGGGTTGTGCACGTTGAAAGACATTCATTGCACGCTTTATTAGTGGCTAATGAATTTGGTAGTATATTTCTAAAATGGACAGTGCAATTAGATTGGCACAATCTCGCGATGCAATAATAACATTTCCATAAGAAACTAAATCGACTGAAGAGAAATCATAGCACTCGAAAGTTAAAAAAATACAACGAATGAACGAACTTGAACGAACTGCTGAAGGAGGATGTAAACAAGCTTTATAAAAGTCATGTGGGTAGGTGCACTCTTGGGTGCCCTCCAAACACGTTATTTATGGAGCAAAGGATGATCTTTTGACAGCATGTATAAGCAATTTGAGAGCAGTGCAATAGGAAAACAATTTATGGCATAGGAAGTTGTTTCCTGCTGACTTGCTAGAGATGAACTAGCCTAAGGCTAAAAATCTCTTAAATAAAGAATTAAAAAAAAAAATCCTGCTGACTTGCAAAATAAAATCGACTGTGTTCGCAATACCCAGGGCAACACTACTACTCGATTGTAATATTGCCAATTATTCAGAGAAAAATTAGCATTTGGTGTCAGATTATCTGCATAATAGCAACAATCAATACGAAACTAACGATTTTAAATTGGCTCACCACTTTAGTAGCCTATTGGTCCCAAGCAAACGATTAACGTACCCTATTCTAGTTGAAATTCTATTACTACACTATGTTTGTTTTGATTCGCTATGAAAGTTTGACAGATAACATCAGGGGTGTGTGGATTCATGCAGAACATGCAGGGGTGAGTGAAATAGCTTGGGACTGCTTGGGACCGTTGTTCTGGTACTGAGTGAGCCAAAAATAATAATGATTTTCTTCGGGACCCAGTGGTCTTAGAGTTACCTCTATGGTATTATCAAGCGTGTTGGACGATAAGATCAGCTGAACATGTTTTTGGAGCCGAGTTATTAACGTTTCTCGGTGCGTTTGCTGTTGCTTTTGATAGCCAATACAACCTGTTACAACAATGCATTGAATAAATTGTAGAAATATTTTTAGCTTAGCTACAGCAATGCAAAGAGAACATCGATTAAGAGAATCGATCATCGCATATACGCCCTTATCAGAACTAATATCAACATAAAGCTATAGCAACCGGTGGAAACTAACGATTTTAAATTGGCTCACTACTTAACTAGCTTATTGGTCCCAAGTAAATCGATTGACGTACCCCATTCTAGTCAACATTATAGTACTACCACAAACGAAGTGACAGACGGAGCGGCTCGAAAACTTTGGTGACTAACCTGCTATTTCAATTTTTCAGTGTACCTCACGGCAACACTATCTACTCATATGTACTAGCTTAAAGTATATAGTTGATGCTATTGGCCTTGACGGCGAATCTATAGCTCTTTACTCCTATGGTAAAATCCGTAAGCAAACGTCAGACTGTGCGTGAAATTTACTTTCAAAAACGAAGAGGTTCGCAAGTGGTGCTGGTGCTGAAGAGTATTGGCGTTGACGGCGACTCTGTAGCTCTTTACTCCTATGAGAAAATCCATAAGCAAACGTCAGACTGTGCGTGAAACATGGCGGACTTTGTACTATCCTTTCACTCCACCGAAAATTCCTATAAGAAACTGTCTATATTTGCTGAAAGAGTAAATTTTTCGACGGTGCCGTCAACGCCAATGAAATGCTGTTGGATGATCAGATTGATTTCGTCCAGGCACTCCGACTGGATGGAACTAAAGAAAAGGACCGGAAAGCACCGGTATCTGAGGCGGAAAGGAAGAAGATGGACATTGAGGAAACGAAGAAATCACTTCCAGTTTTTCCATTCAAGGAGGATCTCATAGCCGCTATAAAAGAACACCAGATTCTTATTATCGAAGGAGAAACGGGTTCGGGAAAAACGACACAGATTCCACAGTATCTCTATGAAGCTGGGTTTACAAACGACGGCAAGAAGATTGGATGTACTCAGCCTCGTCGCGTGGCAGCGATGTCCGTGGCGGCACGTGTTGCACAGGAAATGGGCGTCAAGTTGGGCAACGAAGTTGGTTATAGTATTCGTTTCGAGGATTGCACATCCGAGCGGACTGTCATTAAATACATGACAGATGGTACGTTGCACAGGGAGTTTCTTTCGGAACCGGACCTAGCTTCGTATAGTGTGATGATTATCGATGAAGCTCACGAGCGTACGTTGCACACGGACATTCTGTTTGGATTGGTGAAGGACATTGCGCGGTTTCGGTTGGATTTGAAACTACTGATTTCCAGTGCCACGTTGGATGCGGAAAAGTTTTCGGATTTCTTCGATGATGCGAACATATTCCGTATTCCTGGTCGTCGTTTTCCGGTACGTAGTTAGATTTGACTTGCTTTGTGTTTTGCTGTAAAATCTAACTTTTTCTCTTCTAGGTTGATGTCTTCTACACCAAAGCACCGGAAGCAGATTATATCGATGCATGTGTGGTGTCGGTTCTACAGATTCATGCCACTCAGCCTCTTGGAGACATTCTTGTATTTTTAACTGGTAAGTGGGTCTATTTCTATGCGATGTTAAAAAATTACATTTTTTTTTCGTTCCAGGACAAGAGGAAATCGAAGCCTGCCAGGAGATGCTCCAGGATCACGTCAAGCGGTTGGGTTCCAAACTCAAGGAACTACTCATCCTTCCCATTTATGCCAATCTGCCTTCGGTCATGCAGGCGAAAATTTTCGATCCAACTCCACCGAACGCCCGGAAAGTCGTACTGGCCACCAACATCGCCGAGACATCACTAACCATCGATAACATAATGTACGTGATCGATCCGGGCTTTGCAAAGCAAAATAATTTTAACTCCAGAACCGGGATGGAGACCCTGATGGTCGTGCCCATTTCGAAAGCGTCTGCCAATCAACGTGCAGGTCGAGCAGGGCGCGTTGCCCCTGGCAAGTGCTTTCGTCTGTACACAGCCTGGGCATACAAACACGAGCTGGAAGACAACACCGTCCCGGAAATTCAGCGCATAAACCTGGGCAATGCCGTGCTAATGCTCAAAGCTCTTGGAATCAACGATTTGCTTCATTTCGATTTCCTCGATCCTCCACCACATGAAACGTTGGTTTTGGCATTGGAGCAACTTTACGCCCTAGGGGCATTGAATCACCACGGTGAACTGACCAAACTTGGACGACGGATGGCGGAATTTCCGTTCGATCCCATGATGGCAAAAATGCTGCTTGCTAGTGAAAAGTACAAATGTTCCGAGGAGGTGGTGGCCATCGTTGCAATGCTATCGGTGAATGGAGCCATCTTCTACCGACCGAAAGATAAAATCATCCACGCAGATACGGCCCGGAAGAACTTCAACCACATGCACGGGGACCACTTGAGTTTGCTGCAGGTCTACAATCAATGGGCCGAATCGGACTACAGCACTCAGTGGTGTTACGAAAATTTCATTCAGTTCCGTTCGATGAAACGAGCTCGCGATGTCCGGGAGCAGCTGGTTGGGTTAATGCAGCGAGTCGAAATCGAAATGGTTTCCAGCCTGCCGGAAACGACCAACATCCGGAAGGCTATTACAGCCGGGTACTTTTATCACGTCGCTCGGCTTTCCAAGGGGGGGTCACTACAAAACGGCCAAGCACAATCAGACGGTGATGATCCATCCGAATTCGGCACTGTTCGAAGAACTGCCTCGTTGGGTGCTGTACCACGAGCTGGTGTTTACGACGAAGGAGTACATGCGGTCGGTGATTGAAATCGAAAGCAAGTGGCTGCTGGAGGCGGCACCGCATTACTACAAACCGAAGGAGCTCGAGGATTCCACCAATAAAAAGATGCCGAAAACGATCGGTCGGGCCACACTGACCGAGGCGTAGGTTGTGATGAGACGGTTTGGGGTAATTCAAGAGCATTTTTCGCACTGTATTCAACGGGAATTGTTGTTATTTGCGATGACATTATCCTACCTAGGGTGTCGGGTGTAAATTAGTGATCTTTAGGGACAAATAGGTGAAATATAA